GTGTGCCTTGGCAGTCTGGGGCAGAAAAGGACAAAAGAATCTCAATTCTGATAGCAGTTAATGGAATTTGTTTCAGTGCTGTCTGTATCAGTATAGGCAGTGCATGACACAGTCACATTACTCAAACCTAAGTGGCTTAATTAATAAGATAACCTTTTATCTGTGAAAGCCAGCAAATACTCTTTCATGTTTTAAATGGGGACTTGACTGAAATAAATGGTCTTTTCAGTAGCTTTAAGGTCCAAAGCAAACATATGATTAACGATGAAGGCAGAATACATGTACTCTTTTAATATCCACAAAACAGCAACACATTTTAAAGCCACATTGAAAGAACTGAAATATTGACTTTGATTATCTGTATTATGTCGACATATTTCACATGAGTTCAGTTGAAACCAATAACATTAAGTTTAAACAGGTTTAAATACAGTTATGTGACATTTGTTGACATAATTCACTCAATTAAAGTCCACGTTAGAGTTTTTTCTGGTTTAGTACGGCCAGTGCCCACCTATATACATATTTGTTGAAAAGATCAGTGTTGGGCAAGTCTGTTGAGTGTGTTCATAAACATGTGTTAGCTAAATTACGATGGAAAGACAGGGGTGGAGTTTTGGTTCATGCTCTGCAGCCAATCTTAATCAAACTGAAAAGAAGCTGACTTCCAAAAAGATCAAAGTAACACAGTGGGATATTATAGGTGGGGTAGGTAAGTTTGAGAAACCGGCTCGAGATACACTTTTTGTTATATTCCATCCAGCCCGGCTAAAATAACTGGATGGCCTACCTGCCTGTCAGCCTTCCATCTGTGCACAAACTTATATCGTGCCCTCATTGGTCATGTGCACATTCATGTGTGTTAGAGGAGGGGCTCTGTAAAGAAGTGGCAGATTTTTTCCGGCTGTGTATTTTCAAATTCTAGCGCACTCGAGCTGGTTTCTCCAAAATTACCTACCCCACCTTTAATAACTCAAATTTCATTACTGACTTTTAAATAAAAAAATCATCAACATTTGGCCACAGGATAGCTCAGTTGTAAGAACTGGTGTCCTAAGTAAGCAGGTACAAGCACACTGAAATAGGCAATATCTTCACCTCTATCTCCCCCTGTCAACCCTGCATCTCCGATAAACACCTGGCTTAGGAAGACTGAGAAAAAATCTTGGTTAACAGTGGCAAATCAAAAATGATCTGAGAAGGTTATCACCATTAATTTGGAGGAAATTGTGTGTGGAGCAAATATTAAAATAAATACCTTTGAGGGATTCTCGTCCTCCTCGTTGTATGATCAATAAATGGCAAGGTGGGGCTTCTTTGGTGCATTTGTTGTGGCACTTCAGCCTGCATGCATACACAAGAAGGACAGGGCATTCTATTAGTGTTTGTCATGTTGTTCATAGTTTAGTTTATTTACACAACTTATGCAAATTGGGTGCATTATCATGAAACAACAAATATTAATTTATTCAACTGAGATCAAAACAAAAAGGTTCATAAACACGTTTCACCTTCAAAAAAAAATCAACCAAAAAAAAACACATCAACACTAATTTCATAAATCCCAGATATGATTATCTGTAATGAGGCTCAAATCACTACTATTGTTTGAATAAAACTAAGTACTTACTTGCAGTTTTTACATTTCAGTCCAAACAACATTCCCTTTCCACATACTATGCATGTCTGGGACATCCAATACTTGGTTGAAAACCTACAAGCAAAAGAAAAGAGTGAGATAGACAATTTAAGGAACATCAGGACATGTGGATTAACGTGAGAAAACACGGCTTCTGACCTTTAAGCCTTTCATAACATTCTCTCATTCTGACGGAACACATTACCTGCGTAACCTTCCTGAGAGGATAAAAAATTGCCAGAAGAAAGTAGTTTTGCTTCTACTTGAGTGTTTACCTTCTTAGCTCCCTCACCTGCTGATTTCATTTTGGGCCCCCCATTTCATTTTCATCTTTCGGTAACCCTGTGTGAATTAACATCTCAGGCAGTCACTCTGCTGCGCGGGGCCTAGGCCATGGGGTTTACAGTACATCAATGCAACAACCAGTCTGAGAGATGGGAGCGAAGGAAAATAGCATCGCTAAAGGTTCCAACACACTTACTTCTCAAACAAACAAATCCACAAAGTGCTCCGCAGTTTCGACCAATTCCCTGCACAGACCATCCGAGTGGTACGAGCACGTATGTGGCTATTGGCTGTATTTACTGATGTGACGCCTGGATGTAAGCAGTGCTGCTGGCTGGCTAATGGCTGGTGACTAATGTAGTTTGACAGAAACCAAATCTCTTTATTAGGCCCTTCTTCGCCTCAATTGAGTAGCACAACTCAATCCAACCCCCTCTGATTTTTTAGTAGACTCCGCTGTCAGATATGAAAGATGAAGTGACATTAAGGGCCGATTTTGCATAAAGAAGTATTCATTCAGCACATTGGATACCCCAAAGCCAAAGTAGTGCATTGTGTAGCAAAGACGCAAATGCACTTATCGCAACAGGTTAACAATACGATCAAGTTGTAAATATGCAAATCGGCACGTCTAGTAGATGCTGGATGGAGTAATTGCTTTTCTCTTAAAACCAGCATTAATATTCAAATAACGGCTTCATAAATTACATTTGCTCTCAGTTTGCCTGGGATGAGGTTCTCGTTCCATATCGATGAATTTCAGCTGGCAAAACACCCACGTTCTGGAGGTGGCTGAGATCCCACAACTAATGCGATATTGTTTTACTTTTTAGATCACTAGCGTTCGGAGTCAAGCAGGGGGAGAGAAAAAGAGAGGGACGGATGAGAATTGAGAGTTATGCAAGGGGGCCATCTTTTTTTTAATTGGACTGACATTCTATTACAGATGAACAAGTACAAAAACACACTCACACACACTCTTTCCTTTAGACCTACCTGTGTTTTATTGAGTTTCCCAGATCTCTTCGTGGAATCTGTGGGGACCAGCGAGGCACTGAGAGAGTGTCTGGAGCGGAAGAAATAAGAGAAAGGAAAGGTCGTTATGTTATTATTTTTGTCCAATGTTAATATTGACTGAATATTCTTCAAAATTGACAACATTTCTAGTATCAAACAACATTTTCTAGCAACAAAGGGACTTTCTGGTGTCAAACTTAATCAGCTGTTTCAATATCATTCTCACAGTTAGTCATGACTCACTATCAACTCATCACTGTAAACGAGCCTTTGTCCTTATTGTCAAGAACGCACATGGACTGTTGGATAGGTATTGTAATGGTTGGATGGACATCAATAATAATATAATCAGTGCATTATAAAGACAACACAGCTTCCAGCATGAGCTGACAACACCATACAGGTATCTCATTTGTACCTGTATTGCATTGTGAGAGATTCTAGCCTCAAAAGGTTTCCACTACAAAACATTACGCTTGGTCCATTAGTACTGACAATGACTGAGCAGCCCAATACATTTGTGCGCAACCTCCTAATACAGGGACAGAATGGCAGCCTACACAGCGTGGCCTGTGAAGGCGGCTGGAGGTGGTGGATATGCATTGAGATGATAGGGCGCTCTAATGATGTGCCAGGTCAAAAAGAGCCCAGGATATAACGTAATGTGCATCATGCAGGATCAAAAATAATACCTCATATAGGGTTTTAGAGGCCTATTTAGGTTATATTCCGTCACACTATTTACAATCTAGAGATAAATGCAGTCATCCTCAAAATAACATGGAAAAGGAAGAGGTATCTATACAAAAATTCACAAAACCAACTGATACAAAATGTTTCTTTGTACAGTATAATAAGAATAGTATACCCTATACCACAGTACATCTTGAAAAGTAGCGTAAAACTAACACTTTGTAACATTATGCACACCTCTAATAGAATATTTGCAGGTAAACAAAAAAAAAAAGAGAAGAGAGCATGACGAGACAAATCAGGAGTTATGGCGCAAAAAGAGAATCTGTTAAATGTAACCAGAGCACAGCTTCATTACATAAACCGGCCCAACTATGTGGTATTTATTCATTACAGGAACATACAATCACCCTTTAGTACATTATCATGTAATTATTACAGAAATGCATGTTCCTTATTATTATGACTGTTCCAACAATGCAGAATTAGTCCTCCCTAAGAACCGTATGTGTAAAGTCAGCACCCTTTCCCTTTAAGGTAAATTACATGTGCATTTCTTATATTTTAAGATTAAAAAGGTTTTACATAGATGGATAACCATGCACCAACTCCATGAGATTCATTAGCGTCCACGTCAAATGTCCCATCCCTTCTTCTTGGCTGAGTCACAGATGTGTAATAATTGATTGATATTCTGGTTACCTTGGTGCGGTCTTTTAGATGAGTAGTATGTCACTTTTAAGCTGAAAAGGAATGACAGGAAGATTGGAGTATAGGAGACTTTCGATTTTTTTACATGGGCAGACGGCGGAGATGAACAATAGATTAAATCAGGAAATTGTGCGGAAAAAAGCGACCTAGAAGCCCCTCCTCAATGCTTCAAACTCCTAATTCCTTGAAATGGATGTGTGGGCTGAGGTGTGCATTGAGATCGATCTCCATATGAAAGGACAGAAGAAAATTCACTTCAGTCAGGCCGATAGGATGAAGAGTTCCAAACTCATTTCAGCTCGATATGCAACAATATCGCCCAAAAGAGGGAATCATCTATGAATTTGAGAACGTCTTTTTCAATCATCATATTCATAGGCTCTTTATTATATATTTTTTTATTTGAAAGTAAACAGAAAAGACAGGCAGATTCACAGTTGAGATGCTAATGTTCCTCCGAGAAGAGTCTTGGAAACGTGTCGATTCGAGTCTTTGAAAATCGTTTCAGAGACAGATTTCCTCAGGAGGCGGAAGAACTCTCACCAGTTGAATTGATTCAAAGTCCAGAGAAAGGTATCCAATCATAAACTCAACTTGCCGATCAAGAAGCATTGTTTTTATAAGTTAAAGTTCATGGCCTCTATGGTTTAGATACTTGGCTGATTTCCTGCAGTGTATTTTGCAGCTACACACTAGTGGCTACACTACAGTAGAACAAAGAGCACTTTTTAAAATCATTTTTGAGCTGGTAAGGGTCTCAATCAATCCTATTAATTGATAACAAGGCCACAAGTCATTGGCAGTGCTAATCTCATGGCCCCGGTGCTGTATAGCATTTCCTTGTTCCTGAAGAACACCCTTCCTCCCTTTCCTCCCCCAGCCTCTCCAGAGGCCCAGTGTCTTCTCTCCGCACTCCGATGCATCGCTCAATTACACTCAATCAACCTGATAACTCAATACAGAGGGGAAACTGACATCATCTGCTTCTTGTCGGCCTTGTTGGCGACTGGCAGATGATTTGACTTGTCAGCTGCGTGGTCAGGGCTGTTTATCATCGTGCGTGTTTGCTGTTGATGTCGCTGTCTGTCTTCAGTGCCACTCATTCATGATCCTATCATCTCTCACAGAACGGGGGAGTGTAGTTTAATGTCAGTAAGTGTTCATGACAACAAAATCAACAGAACCATAAACGCTTGAGATATAACAGAAACCTTCAGATGTATTTTTATGTGTAGATTTTGGGCTTGGAAGAATTGCCCTCATTTAAATGTTTGTTATATGTGTTATGTCCGTCCTTTAGAGGTAAAGTAGTGTTTAGTTGCAGTGGTGGAGTCCACCAGTCACGTGCTAAACTCAGATTGCGTAACTGTAAAAACAGTGCATTTATGTAAGTCAATTATAATCGACGCACTATTGACTGTTATGTACAGGGTATTGCATATTGGCAAAACAAAGGCCAGAGTGTGAGCAATATCCAATGAGACAAGATAAAATGCAACTGCAATAAAACCTTTGATTCAGCAATCAGAGATACAACGATAACAGTCAAGTAATGTGAACCAAAGCCAAAGTTGAAGCAAAAACAATGGAAAGAACATGGAGGAATAGCCCCATGCAGGCAATAAGAAAAGTGAGGTAAGAGCTTTTTACATGATACATAACATTTCAATTAAGTTAGCTGTATTTAGGTGGATTTTTCTTTTCTTTTATTGGGCTAAATTGACGTTCTTGGTTTAAGGATTAACATATCTTTTTTTGTTTTTAATGTTTTATGTCCATCCCTTAAAATCTAGTAGTGTTTTCAATGTTCCTGTTCCTGCGCAGAATCCAGATTGTTTAAAAATGTCACACATCTAAAGTTAAGTGCATTATAAACGCAATCATTCAACTATGAAACAAACAACAAAAATCTCATTTTGGATTTACATTTTTTGCAAAAGACTTGAGGAAAAAGAGCTGCCAAAGCAACTTTGTACATAAAAAGATGCACACGACTTTTCCAACTTCTCCACAAGATAAACAACCTTTACTCTTGCTTTGTAGAAGTCTGCTTGTGGCATGCGCAGCAGGAAATCCCAATGCAGGTGCAATTATTTTGACTGACATCTCTATTAAAACCATTTGAGAAAAAACAGCTAGTCTTCTGATGAATTGCTGACAGCTGCTCAAGGAGTGTTTGCAGGAGCACTAAGACCCACTTCCTGCAACCATGGTAACCACATGTGTTTCCAAATCAACCACAACTGAAATATCAAGTAGTACAACTTTTACATCTCGGGATCCTGTTGATGTGTGTTTTTTGTTAATAAATCTAATGAAAAAAGTCTAATTTTCAAAGTGTGTGCGTGTGTGTGCGTGTGTGTGTGTGTGTGTGTGTGTGTGTGTGTGTGTGTGTGTGTGTGTGTGTGTGTGTGTGAGAGAGACATATGAGCCTGCAGGAGCTGAGGAACCCTCAAGGCGCCAGACAACAGTGTCCTCCTCCATCTTCTCTGTTTGGCCTCAGACTAATTAAGCCGAGGCCTTCCTTTCCCCTCCTCCACCGACCGGTCACATGACACACAGCAGACCATGGGGTTGAGTGTGCTGTCTCTGTGTGTGTGTGTGTGTGTGTGTGTGTGTGTGTGTGTGTGTGTGTGTGTGTGTGTGTGTGTGTGTGTGTGCGTGCGTGCGTGCGTGCGTGCGTGCGTGCGTGCGTGCGTGCGTGCGTGCGTGCGTGCGTGCGTGTGTGCGCAAGACACTACTTGAGTCTAGGAGCCTATTTAGAACAAAATATAGTTTATTTGTTGTGGAGTGAGATGCCTCTCCAAGTGATTAACTGAGCGCTGAACACTGCTACTCCCCACGGAGAGGACATTTCTACTGTGGGTAAAAAAATAAAACTGTGGAGCATGTGACAATCAATTCAACGTAAAATACATACATGGGGTAATCTCATTATTCTAATTCTCAGCGCTGTCACCAATTCATCTCTACTACACCTACTACTTATTATGAGAATCATCAAGTTCAGAGTGGTTTGGATAAAAGCTTCAATTAAATGCAATCAACAGCTTAACTAACACGGTATCATAAGGAGATAATGAAAAGCTTTAAAGGATGATACCAAACAATTTTAGCACAAAACAACACAATATGGCAAAGAGAAGCTGCAGCCTGTGTAACTAGATGAGAGTCTGACATTATGGTATATACAGTGGACTGTGCAGAGCAGCAGAAGAAGTGAACAGGACTGTAAAAAAGTGTGTGGGTGTTTGCTGCACAGTGTGCTGCATTATAGCACATGAGTGTTATTTGAGCGATATATTACAGGCTGTTGCTCCGCATATCCTCATCGTTTCTCATCCATGCATTAAATGCGTTTCCACCAGGTGAAAGTACTCAACTGAAAAAGTATCTGTTTGGACAGGCAGCCAAAAATGCACAAAGAGCATAGTGGGAATAGAAGAGTTTGGCGTTTTTATCTGACCGAATGTGAGAAAAAACCCACCTCAGATGAACAAGAGACAAAGCCAGGTTGCTCAGTTGCTATGGCAACAGCTACACGCCAATCAGCTTTTTTTTCAGACTATTGTGCTGTCATACAAATAACACCACACACACAAATCATGTTATAAACAGCAATCACAGGGATAGAACAAAATATCA